CTTTATCTGAGAAAAGTTTATTCGTTAGTTTGAAGAAAGAGTGAACAGGTTTATTTCCTTGGCAATATTGGTGACGCTGTTTTTAGCGCTTTTTCAGTAGCAATAATAATCTCGTTCGGATACTTTGATTGTGACGGCTCTTTCATAGCTGCTATTGCACCATTTGCAGCTTCTTCTACGCTTCTTGGCCGATTAATTGAAGTTAACCCCGCTGTAATTGGCGACTGAGCTATAGCTGTTGTTGCTCCATCGGAAAGAGTCGATGAACAGCTGGAATTACTTTGTTCGCTCCTTAGTTTTGACTTTGTTGGTGAGTTTAAAGCATTTTGTGAAGAGAATGATAAGGCAATGCTGGGCTTGTTCTGTCCTTTCGTATCCAGCAAGCGTCGCAGTGGAACAGTTGTACCAGGAGAACGCGGTGAAGATAATGTTCGAGCGGTCAATGTTGATTGCGTTAAAGGACTTTGCGGTAGTATAGTCTGTTTTGGCAAGTGCATCTGCGTGGTGGGCGGAATACCCTGTGAATGCGAAATCACAGTCATTTTGTTAGGAAGCGTGGTTTTAGTGGGTTCTCTTGCACATTGGTTGAGCATAATTAAAGGAATTGCTGCTGTTCCACGCTTTTTTGGACTGGTGGCCTTTGAGTTTGTCAAAGCACTTTTATGTGCCTTTTGTACAATGGAATCATGCAGAGTTGTAGCATCCTTGTCATCCTTGCCTCCTTCCTCGTTCAGAGCTGCTTCGGCTATGATCTGTGGTTTCATAAGAGGAACAACAGGACCAGCAGTTGCTGCTGCAGCTTCCATTACCTCATTGGGAGAGGGTTGCTGTTGCGAAGATGCAGGCGACGTCGTCAGCTCGCCTTGAGGGCTGGAATTGTCTGGCTGGTTTTTCACTTCACCGCGCAAATTGTCCATTTGGCCTTTTAACTTCTCAGCAGCGATTATATTCGCGGGACCTACCAAAGAATCGTCATTGTTCGCCGCTTTTTTTGAGTTCTCAGATGGCTGACGAACACCTGGAAGCATGGTAGTCAAAAAGATCACAGCAGGTTTTGCCGCAACCTCATATAAGTATATTCTTTGTGCAGTAATGAAAATTTGATAATTTACTTTGTGACGTTTTTGTAACTTCCTTTGGACTTCTCTTGGCTGGCTTGCAAAACTGTAACACAGCAAAGCCAAGAAGTCATACATTAAGATTCATGAAACTGAATTATTCTTATCTTCTTGATCTTACTAACCGTTAAGGAGGAGGAAGTTAAGAGAGTTTCATTAAAATTAAATGTTTTTGCTTTGAGAGATTAGAATATATTTATTTATTTATTTATTTGTTTTATATTTATATTTATATTTGTTTGTTTACTTATCTATTTAACTATTTATTTATTTACTTATTTATAAGAGCGAAAGC